TCACCTGGGACTAAATTCTCCGGAGGGGCTGTAATCTCCAGGGTATTTACCGACCAGATCTCCTCCTTGCTATGCAGCTGCCCAGGGCCAGCAGTCCTGCCCTGAGAGCCGGGATGGTGCTCAGGGGTCAGAAAGTGCATCAGCCAACTGGCTGATCTACTTGCACCATTTTTCTTCCTGGATCCACCCTCCCACCCTTTTGGAATCTTTCTGAATTCATAGCTTGGTGCAGCATGAAGTTTAGCCCCAAGTCCATCTTATCCTTGCTATCCCTAATATATGTACTCATTCTCTTTTCATAATTAATGGTTTTACTGTGAGTCACTCCAGAGAAAGGAATAAGGGAAGATAGAAATTTATATCTTATGATGTAAATTTTACTGAGGTAAAATTCATGAGTTACCAGGCATAGCATATAACACACCATCAGCTAGCATTTACTAAGCATTTACTCTACACCATTGCCTTTAAGCACTGTGCTGTGGCTGGGAATAAAACAGTGAGCAAGACAGACTCTGTCCCTGGGCTCACGGGACAGTGAGCTGCTGGAAAAAGACATATATATAATTGTTTAACAACATATATGAAAAGGCTATAAAGAAAAAATACCGCCCTAGCAAGTTTGGCTCAGTGGATAGAGTGTCAGCCTGCGGACTGAAGGGTCCTGGGTTCAATTCCGGTCAGGGGTACATGCCCTGGTTGCCAGCTCAATCCCCAGTGAGGGGTGTGCAGGAGGCAGCTAATCAATGATTCTCTCCCTCTCCCTTCCTCTCTGAAATCAATAAAAACATATTTTTTTAAAAAGAAAAAATACCATGTTTATTATATGAAGAGGAATTGCAAGAAGGTTGAACCCAGCCAAGGGAAGCTTCTTTGGGGAAGGGATATTTAAGCTGATACTTGATGGAGGTGGAGTTTACCAAGAAGTTCAAGACCATCAACTCACACCCACTCCCCCTCCCTAAACCCTGTCACTCATGGTAACAACTCCTTTTCTGAATTTTTACATATTGAAATTCTATTGTTCTATTTCTCACTCTTATTTTGACCATACCTATCCTTCAACTGTTCAATATCTGTACTCCCTTAGATCTCTTGCTCTGCTTGAGATAGAACACTTTAAGAATTAGAGAAAGAATTTGATAGATCCTCCCTTCCCCCCAACTGGTGGGTGGAGTATGACATAACCTGCAGCCCGGAAATACCTGAGTGACTAACCATGTAACTTATATGGACTATACATTGAACCACCAATCCACACCTGCCAAATACCCTAAGCCCTTGTTCCTATATGGACCATACATTAAGCCAGTGATTCTCAACCTGTGGGTTGCGACCCCTTTGGGGGTCGAATGACCCTTTCGCAGCGGTCGCCTAAGACTATCAGAAAACACATATATAATTACATATTGTTTTTTTGATTAATCACTATGCTTTAATTATGTTCAATTTGTAACAATGAAATTGGGGGTCACCACAATATGTGGAACTATATTAAAGGGTCGCAGCATTAGGAAGGTTGAGAACCACTGCTTAAGCCACCAATCAGCACTGCCAAGTACACTAAGCCCCCGTTCCTTCCCATGCCTCCCCTCAACACGTGTTCACCGCTGCACATGTTGCTGACCTCCCATTGCGAGAAAGCCTGTAATCCTCGTTTTCAGCTCCTAACTGGTCTCACAGAATTAAAGATTAGATTATCAAAAGATGTATTTGAGTTGACTGGGGTAAAATATCTACAGCCAGTCATGGCGGGGGGGCGAGGGCGGGGGGTGCCTAAAGTTTGAAATAACTACGCTGATGTTGTTGAACTTATTAGGACTGGTGAACCAGAGCAAGAGGGACAGGGAAGCTACCACAAAAAGTGACGTTACTTTGTTACTGCTATGTTCATTTTTCTCTGTGATTCATGACTTCCCATAGACAAATGCTTTGGTGCAGTAATGGGAATGGAGAGTCAGAAAGTTCCAGGCAGGAGGAGCCTCAAAAAAGGGAGAAAACACATGAAACTCTCAGGTGGAGACAGAAACCACTCCAGAGGATAAAGGCAGCTCTAGAATCTGTACAGTCTGACCAGAAAGGAAAAAAAATAGATAACCAATGGAAGTCTACCTAATGAAAGCAAAATGCTACTTCTCTACAGCTGGCAGACTAAGAGTGAAATGAACTCAGACAAGCTGATTCACTGATACCTTTCATTGTCAATAGGAGCACTATTAGGAGAAGCTGTCCTTTCATCCACTTGGCAGGCATACAAAAAATAAAAAATAAAAGAAGCTGTCTGTCAAGCCAAGCTTCAAACGCACTGCTTTTCTTCCCTTCAGGTTTATTTGATGCTATTTCAAAAGCACATAGAATCTTTGTACTCCAGCCAACAGATTGACAACACAATCTTCTTACTCCAGCTCATCCTCCATGGATTTTTTTTTCCCCCTCACTGTCACCACAAAGTAAGCATAGAACCTTGACATTGTACCTATTCTCACTTCAGCGCTCAGGCACAAAAGGTGCCCAAATCCTCCTTTACAAAAATCATTCTCTCTTGATATCATGATCTCTTTAATATACATAATCTGCTTAAAGAGGCCAAGTGCCATGGAACCAAGTCTAATATATTTCCTTTGCAAATTCTGTATTTAGTAGTCTAGCTTCAGAATTTCATGTCTGTTACACTTTGACATCTTGATGGAAACTTCAGTTTTAACATTCTACTCCAGAAGCATGAGAGAGCTATCAAAGACAACAGTGGAACTATCTATGCAAGCATTGTTTAAGCCAGAGAATGCCCTTTCTGGCCAATACGATGATCTGGAATCCTGAGAGGCATATGATAGTGTCTCGTTGGAATGGAAGGTACATCATCTTGTCAGCCTGCAGAGCTCGAGGCATTAAACCTTCCAACTAAATATCCAACTTCCCCTGTTTATTCAGTAGGATTTCAGTCATTTCCTTCCAACCCCTCCCCCATGCACCCTTGTGGATTATGATTAGGAGATGCTTTGGTCATATTCAAATGATATCCAGCCCATCTGACAGTTGCATTTCCCAGTGTAAATTAATAAAAATGGCATTCTGATTTAAATTTCAAATTGTTTTCTGAAAAGATGTTTCCATTAGTAAACATCTCTAAAGTAAGAACATATTAACAGTTAGCTTCTTTAATGGTAATAATTTACCAATAATTATCAGAGAGGAAAAAGAATAAAAGAATGAGGATAAGGAGGATGGTGGAAAGGAAAATTCCATATCTTCATTTTCATATAATTAATGTTAACACAAAAATCTTTTCACATAAATGTTGTCTGCAGTTCAGATTATTAACTTGTGATAGATATCCAGAGAGGGGATTGTTATTACATATGCAGAAAAGGAATTTATTAGTAATCAAGAGGGAAAAAATAGTAAGTTTTTTGCTATATTGCCATGTAGTACCTGGAAATCTATCTATTCTCCTCTGAATCGCTCAACCTTCTTGAAGAAGGAGAAAAGAAAAATAATAAACCTATCTCCTTCATCCATTCTAGGTGACTGCCTCTTCCAGGAGTGGCTGGAGTGGGAAGTGTTTAAGGCAAAGAAGGCTCAGGTATTGATGACTTCCCCAAACCTCTTCCTTGCCCACTACTAGAACTGACTACCAGCCCTTAGCTAACGTAGGCATGGGATCTTTACATAGTCCTTAATGGATATTTAAATTATTAATTTTTACAAAGAAATTTCAGAGTCAAATTGTAATCCACTTATTGCACCAGTGGACTAGTCCAGTGTGTGACAGGATCAGCTTGTACCTGGGAGTTGCTTCTCTGAGATCAGAAATTCCAGGTTGCCAGTGTGCAGTTTATAGGGTTGCCACAAGATGGCAGAACTGGGAATGACAAATTCCTGGAAGCTAAAGTAGCCAAGTAAAATTTTATTACTTGTGTGTTTTGTAATTACAATTAATATCTATTTCATATTTAAACATCCTAAAATGGTCCATTGAGTAATATATTAAAATTTTAACTATGAAAGAAATTAATGAAGGCATAAATATAAACACTAAAGAAACAGATTAGGTAGATGGGATCATCAGTTGATGATGGTGGTGATGGTGATAGGTAGGTAGATAGATATGGATAGATAAACAAATAGATACAACAGCTATATAATGGTCTTTTAAAATATCCTAGATTCCTTTTTCTTTATTGCATTTCATCCAGTCACCAAATGATGCTTTAGGGGATAAAGAGATTATTATTACAGGAAATAAAGAAAAAGGAGTTGACATTCAACTCTGGCCTTTCAAAAATAGGCTTTTTGTGTCCCAAGAATAAAATAATTTTGAAAGACTAAAGTTTTCTAAATTTCAAATTGTTCCTCTTTTTATACTGAGAATTTGGTTTGGTAGGACTCGGAACAAAATCTTATTATAAACCATAGGTAGGGAAGATGCAAAATATAATTTTATGGAACTGCCCAAACAGAAAGGGAAAAAATAAAGTCTTTTGCTATCGGGTGGCAAAGGAGAGGCATGTGAAACAAAAAAGAGAAGGGGACAGACGCTAACTAAAACCATTGCTTTCTAAGATCTGAGGCCAAGAGGGAAGGTGGTGGCAAGAATGAAAGCCCAGGTGAGTTGAGGGGAAAGCCCAATGCAGACGGGCATATGCCCAATTTAGCCACTGTGCCTTATTCTGGTTTCCATTGATCAGAGCAGCTCCCAGATGCTTTCCAGAAAGTAGCCCTGGGATAGGTATAGAGAGTGAGAAGGGAAGTAAGGGTATGCAAGTCAGGATCCCACCTCAAAATTTGAGGTTATTAACTCATGCTACCACCCCATTCTTCATGCCTCCACAAGCTCAGTGTTTCCATAATACATCTCTGCAGTGCACACAAGCCAACCTGGTGGTCCCCTCACAATAAGATTGGTCCTCAATGTTTAAGCACGCCGATATGGGAAGGAAACATTCTGTGACACCCCCATCCCCAAAGTCCCCACCAGAGTTCAGAGCCCTGTCCCACACCTGAAATTTTCAGTGGGACAAACACTGAGGGCAGCTGTGAGTCATTCCACAGCCTTGCCACATCCCCACTAAAAGGACCCATGTCAGCAGATACAAGTTCTCAGTTTCTGCCATGCCCATTCTTCCTCTTGAGACTTGGGTCGACTAAAAGGAAGAAAAAAGAAACAGTTGAACACATGCATCTAATACTTACCTATTAATTTTCTAAGAACCACTTACTCATGCCTAAGCCCCATAGCATTACATGAACCCTGTCTTCTTCTATATCTGTAGTCTTAACATATTAATGATAATAACTGATTCTAAATATCAGAACCAGAATTCAAACTCAGGTGCTGGAGCTAGGATCCGGATCTGCTGGATCACTTAGTCAAGACGCCATCCTCCCTCTGTGGCACAGATTTATCATTCTTACCCAGTTCTGGGCTCTACACCATCACTAGAAACCATTCACCCAGACCCTAGAACATGCTTGCTGGAGTCCAGCCACCCATTCCCAAAGGATGACATAGGCATGCATTTAGTGTAACCAGTCACATTTGGTCTCGCTTACCTCAGCATCGAGATCTCATAGGTAAGCACTGTTATGGGCTTCAGATCCAGCCTTTCTCAACCTGTGGGTTGAGACCCCTTTGGGGGTCGAACGATCCTTTCACAGGGGTCGCCTAAGACCATCGGAAAACACATATATAACGACATATTGTTTTGTGATTAATCCCTATGCTTTAATTATGTTCAATTTGTAACAATGAAATTGGGGGTCACCACAACATGAGGAACTGTATTAAAGAGTTGCAATAGTAGGAAGGTTGAGAACCATTGTATAGGGATTGATGGACTAGAAAGAAAGGTCTCAACTCAGGGCTGGCATGCTGTCTCCAAGCAGCACCCTATATTCCAGAGTTGGGGGTACAGTGTCAACATGGACTAACACACCCTCTAATAAAGACAAGATCTTCTTTAAAACCTAAGAAATATCAGTGTACAATCTCATAAAAGATGAAAGGGAGGAAGGTTTTACAGAAGACACCAACCCAGCTGGGTCCCACAATGAACCTGAGAGGCTGCAATGCAGTGATCAAGAGAACAGACTTAGGAGGCAGACTGCCTGGTCTTGACTCACAGCTCTGCACATACTATATCTGTGACCTTGAACGGTTTCTTAAAACTCTCTGTGCCTTGGTTGCTTCATCTATAAAATGAGGGTGACAATCATGCCTAGATATTAGGGTTTTGGTGAAGATTAAATGAGTTGGATTTACCAAGTTACAGCATAAATGCTGAATAGTGGTAGTAGAGAAGTCGTATTAGGGCATCTTTCTCCATCTCATCTCAGGAATCACAAGAATCTAGAATATTAAATTAAATTCTGTTACCTATAGCCTTGTTGGGAACCTGTCAGAAATCTATCATGGAACTATAGTGGTGCCTTGGTGGTATGACAATGGTGCCACTCAAAGTTGTGAGCCTTTTGCAATTGATCTTTCTCTCTCTCTCTCTCTCTCTCTCTCTCTCTCTCTCTCTCTCTCTCTCGTTCCCATTCTACTGATTATGAAATTCTCCCTTAGCATCTGCAACCCTTTCATGAGCTCATTTGTTTATTTGCCAATTTTACTTTATAAGCTCTAAATGTTCTTAGCAGAAGTTCTATGTCTAATTCACCTCTATAGCCTCAATGCTTGGCTATTTAAAAATTCCAAATGTCTATTGATTGGATGAATGAGTGAATGAATGGCACTCTGCTATGTGTTTTACACAGGTCATTTTCAATTAAAAAGAACTGTTTTGAGAACATTATTCAACTTTATCTTATGAGGACTTAATATTGCAATAGAAGACATATCATTTAATATAATTATTATAGCATTAAAGGCTATTATATTAATGTATTTAATATAATACAGTAAATTCCAATTTACAAAAATAAATGCAGACCCATTCCCAGGGCAGTGCTGAGACAGCCAATTTTAAAAACATGCAAATGCTACAGGTTTCTTTGTGTATCCAAAGATACAGAAAACAAACCACAACATACTGCCAGGTAAAAGCATGAAGCCTCTTGTGCTATCTATCAGATATGGCTAAGTGGGCAGGATGTTTATGTATTTATCATTTGGCACATTTTCAGTTAAAACCACACATGACTGTAACAGGAAGAAATTCTGTTATACAAATATTTTGGTTCTGAATAAGAAATGCAGAAGTAAAGAGCAGGAAGAATTCTGTTCCTTTACTTTGCCCATAACTAGTAAATTGGCCTTCTGGATTGCAACACAATACAATATATTACAACAATATTGTAACATAGCATTTTCCTTCCCAATTTACCCATAAGAAAGTGGGGGTTTAAGAGGTCAAGTAACCTCTTCTCTGGAGAAGTTAATAATTAAACATCCTTGCTCAAGGAACAGTTTCTTAAGACCTACCAGAAACAGAGTGACCAAAACACAAAATATTCCTTAGGAATTAAAAAAGATCTATATAGCCCAGACGGTTTAGATCAGTGGTTGAGCGCCGACCTATGAACCAGGAGGTCACGGTTCAATTCCCAGTCAGGGCATATGCCCAGGTTGCAGGCTCAATCCCCAGTGGGGGTTGTGCAAGAGGCAGCTGATGGGTGGTTCTCTCTCATTATTGATGTTTCTGTCTCTCTCTCTCCCTATCCCTTCCTCTCTGAATTCAATAAAAATATTTTTTCAAGATCTATAAGCTATTATAAAGAAATTATTGAGCTATTTCACAAAAGCATGGAAGATCCACCTCACTAATCTGTGTTCCTTGTGGATGGTACAGGGTTAACAAAGGTTCTTCTACCAAAGCCCACTTCATCACAAGGCCATGAACAAAGTCATGAGCTGGTTCGGGTTCATCTCATCATCCTTGTTCAGCCTTTTGCAGACTTTGACTAGCAACAGCTAGCAAAGAGCTTGGCACTGAATAGACCTCATTCTTTTCTCCACAAGTCCAGTGCATAATGCCCAGAGACCAGACCAGATCAAACCTACTAAATCAAAGACAAGCAGATACTAACTGGGGACCATGCAGACCAAGGACCTTTTCCCCACTGCCATTAGGGTAGTAAAAAGCCCCTTCATCAAAGAACCGTCTTTGGGAGGAGAAACAGAGGAAATAGCTCCTGAAAAAGAGAAAAACCAGCAGGGAGTTGGAACCAATTACTGGTGAAGTATCTATTACGCTGCACCTGAGCTAAGTTGAAGAAGACATTTAAATGGAAGAGTCTGCTCTAGTCGGTTTGGCTCAGTGGGTAGAGCGTCAGCCTGCAGTTTGATTCTGGTCAAGGGCACGTACCTTGGTTGCAGGCTCCTCCATGGCCCAGGCCCTGGTCAGGGCTTGTACAGGAGGCAGCCAATCAATCGATGTTTCTGTCTTTCCCTCTCTCTTCCACTCTCTCTAAAAATCAATGGAAAAATATCCCCAGGTGAGGATTAACAAAACAAAAACAAAATAAAATTTTTTAATGGAAGAGGCTGAGTTAACTTTTTTCATTTTATACCAGTCTGTGCTGGCAGTCATGCTCCCATTACCCTGCTTTTGTCTCTTAGCATCTTAACCTTAATTCTTAAGCATCCCCTCTTTCCTCTGGGTTAGTCAATCCATCATCTTTGATTTTATTTTTATCTTTCCATCATTTCTATACTAATGAAAAAGGCCTTTGGATAAGAAACAATTTCATTGAATTCCTTCTTTTTCTCAATCCAAGAAAATGGCACATTGAAACCATATGCCCTGTGAGCACCGTGCTAGGGCCCCTCTCAAGGCCTTGGAAGAGGCTGGTGCAGGAGAGGCCAAGATGCTTAAGCTTCATGAGCTTCATGATTAATCCACTTTTTTAAAAAAATATATTTTATTGATTTTTTACAGAGAGGAAGGGAGAGAGATAGAGAGTTAGAAACATCGATGAGAGAGAAACATCAATCAGCTGCCTCCTGCACATCTCCCACTGGGGATGTGCCCGCAACCCAGGTACATGCCCTTGACCGGAATCGAACCTGGGACCTTTCAGTTCACAAGCCGACGCTCTATCCACTGAGCCAAACCGGTTTCGGCTCACTTCTGATCAGAGGTTATAATTAGCAACTCCAGAGGAATCTGAGTTCTTGTAGGAGGCGATTCTTAACCCACTTAAATCCAAGGTTGGTGTCAACAGTTTGCTCTCTAGCCCAGAAGACAGTTCAAGTCAAAATAAAAGAAGAGCAGAATTGGGTCAGCTGATCCAACATTGCCCTTCTATGGCCGGTTCTCAAAATTCAAAGCTAGTTGTTCCCACACTGGCACTGTTGCACATGGAGCTTTGGTGCAGCTTAGTCCTGCCTGCAGACCTGCTTGAAAATACAGTAAAAAAAAATTTGTTTTTCCCTTTAACACCTAAAAAGGCTGTGAACAGATTATTTTTTTCCTTATCGTTGAATCTTTCCCCGTTTGGGCATGCTAACTAAGGCCACTGCAGGCTACAGGCATCTTCTGAGGCCCTCTAAGGACCTCAGATTAGTGTAAAGTCTACTCCTATGTACCTCCTTTATATCCCATTTTACCTATTGGTCTTCCATACTTTCTTCTGGTTTTTTTTCTTCCCTTCTCACTGTAAAGGCTACATCTGCTACATTACCTAAGCTAATGCAGTAACATGTTTCAGAGAGGAAGGGAGAGAGAGATAGAAACAGCATGATGAGAGAGAATCATTGATTGGCTGCCTCCTGTACACCCCTCACTGGGGATCGAGCCTGCAACCCAGGCATGTACCCTGACTGGACACTTGAATAAAAATTTTCGGACAGCAGACCAAGGGGACCAGACTTTTTGAGCCACTGAATCTCCTGGGAAAATCCTCATAGAAATATGTTAGTCACAAACATATCCTGCCCCTGAAACATGACCTGCTGGCGCCTCTTCCCTCTGTCTGTTGTTACCCTTACTGGGAATTGACTGTATTGTGCAGAACAACTTAATTGTCTTGGTTGCTACAGCAATTCCATTGCTGCTATAACACAAATTAACACAAATTTATTATCCGAAAGTTCTACAGGTCAGATCTGTATGTACTTGACCTACATATCTCTTCTCCATTTCCTTTGTCAATCCTTCCATCTTGTTCTTTCTAAGGTACTAAACATCAATCCAAGCCATTCCCTGTGAATCAGTATAGATCAGGGGTGGGCAAACTTTTTGACTCGAGGGCCACAATGGGTTCTTAAACTGGACCGGAGGGCTGGAACAAAAGCATGGATGGAGTGTTTGTGTGAACTAATATAAATTCAAAGTAAACATCATTACATAAAAGGGTACGGTATTTTTTTTTTTTAGTTTTATTCATTTCAAACGGGCCGGATCCGACCCGCGGGCCGTAGTTTGCCCACGGCTGGTATAGATCCATACTTCTGACCTTCCCTCTGGAATTATCCTATATAATAAAAGGGTAATATGCAAATTGACCCTAGAACTACCGGGAACGACTAGTCGCTATGATGCGCACTGACCACCAGGGGGGCAGACGCTCAACACAGGAACTGCCCCCTGGTGGTCAGTGTGCTTCCACAGGGGGAGCGCTGCTCAGCCAGAAGCCAACTCACGGCTGGTCAATGCAGCAGTGGTGGAGGGAGCCTCTCCCACCTCTGTGGCAGCACTAAGGATGTCCAACTGTGGCTTAGGCCTGCTTCTCTTCCCCTCCCCCGCTCAGGTGGACATCCTCTGAGAGGGTGCAGGCCGAGCTGAGAGATACCCACCCCCAGTGCACGAATTTTTGTGCACCTGGCCTCTAGTATGTATAATTCATCTACTCTTCACAACAATCCTATGAGACTTTTTTCTTAGCATCCCTATTCTACAAAGAGGAAAATCAAGTTATATAACTCATCCAAGGTCATCCAACTAGCAAATATGGCATTGTGAAGCCAGCTACTCTGACTCCTGAGTCTATGCTCTTAATCACCACTCCTGAGCAATCTTGGGTAAATGGGGTGGGAAACAGACTAATAATGGAGATGACAAGCAAAACTGTTGGTTGCTATTAAGGGCCTTTGGCGCCATCTGCTGTTGACCTAACGTTGGCCATAGCAAATGGATTCCCAAATAGTTGTTTTTTCTTCCTCCTACTGAACCATCTGAATATGTGTTCTTCTGTTGGATCATTTCTCAAAACAAAGAGATCGAGAGTAATTCATTCTCACTTAAACTAAAAGAAACCAGTGCCTTGACCTGGTTGATTAAACTAAGAAGGAGTAAAAGGCAAACTCACCTCTCCAAGTTTGTGCTTGGTTTTAATGTGATCCAAACACTTAGAATAGCCTTGGCTTTGAGAACCATCAGAACGTAAGGTAAGTTCAAATATATAACAGTGGTAGTAGTAGTTTTTGCTGCGTAGCAGCAGCTGCCAGATGTTGTTAGTGGAATCAGCACATTAATTTTTTTGAACTGATGAAGCCTATGTAGTCAAACTTAGAGGAAAAGCTGTTTAAGCTCTGTCTTCTTAGAATTTTTCATAATTATTTAAAAATATTATCAAGTTAGATATTAACCCAATTGTTTCTTTCTTTGTGACATTTGAGATTAAGCAGGGATTTGGGGATGAGTTTCCAGATTGCTAGAAAATTTTGACTAGAGCTTAGAGGGGGAAAAAAGTATGGCCCCAGGTGGCAACCCTTTTTCAAAACAAGAGACCCATTGGCCTAAAGGGTCAAATAAATGTGTGATTTGCTAGAAATCCAAGGACAGGCAGTGTGTTTTATCCTGAAATTGTGGTGGGTTTTTTACCCCCTGGATCATCTATTTCTTTTCATTAAAATACAAGGCTGTCATGTAATGTCTAGTGTGACCAAACTTTCATCTCTTTTTTGAACAAGTGAGGATTTGTTTTCCTATATGAAAGCCTAAGAGCACTGAAACATGGTGAGTAAGGGAACCCAAGGTGATGTCAGGATCCCAAGGGACTCCAGCTTTTTGAATCAGAAGCCATGTCTGCAGAGGCTGTAAATTTCTGGAGAAAAGAAATAGGCAGATTGAATAAAAAAAAACAGTTGTGTAATTTCCACTGTACACTTGCCTTAGAGATAAAGTAAGTTATTACCTTTGCCATTATTTAAGGGCATATAAATGTATTTACATGAGTGTTTAAATAATTTTATTTCATTAATATTTAAATGTAATAATTTAATGTCTTTATAAAATGGTTTTCTTAACCTTAGTCATTAGTACACATTATGCAGACTACAAAGGTACCCCACATACACAATCTAAGTAAAAAAATTTTTTTGGTGTTAATCCTCATCTAAGGATATTTTTCATTGATTTTTTTTCTTTCTTTCTTTCTTTTTTTTTTAGCGAGAGTGGAAGGGAGGGAGGGAGACAGAAACATTGATGTGAGAAACACATCAATTGGTTGCCTCCCACATCACCCAACCAGGTCAGGGATGGAGCCTGCAACCAAGGTACGTACCCTTTGACTATACACTGAGCCTAACAGGCTAGGGCCTAAGTAAAGTTTTAAGATGCCACATTTATCTGATGAGTTCGTATTATCAACAATAATTATACCTTTCAGTATCTGTCCATTAGCAGAGCCCTCCAGAAAAGTACCCTTTGTCTCGTGAATATGGGAAATCTCTGTATCTCCCTCTCAATTTTTGTTGGAAACCTAAAACTGCTCTAAACATTTACATTTTTAAAAACAATCATTTTCTAATGTTTTAAGTAAGTGGAGAGGAGCCTCAAGAGACAATGCCCGTACATGCACTATTTAGAAAAGAGGGTGCCTTGGCATGCTTACATTCTCGTCTAGTAGGCTTGACAGTATTGTGAAAATGGCCCACCAGCAACCAGAGTTTGGGACTATAAAGACGTCCTATCAAATTGTCTTCACACACCAAGCAGTCTTTCCATCATTTCACCTCCTATCAGTTTACCTGTAGAGGGAGAATGGTCTAGTCATACTGAATTGAGCACTCAGACATCTGCCAGTTACATTTCTTCCTGTAAATAGAAAAACTTGGGAGGGAGGGTGGGGAGTTAAATTGTTTCTTAAAGTTGCAGAAGATATGCAATTCAGATTACATAGAAAAAAACAAGGTTACTCTGTACAGATTTGTATCATACAGGAACAAATGCCTGGTAATCCATAGTTTTGCAGCCTTACACCCTCTTTCTTTATTTACAGTCTCGCTTTAGGTAAACATATCCAGTCTCAGGACTTTAAATATCACCTGTATAAAGGACATAACTTTATCTAGATAGCCCTGACGTACCCCTAAGACTTAATGATCTACTTAAAATCTCTACTTGGAGATCTCTACCTCCACTCTAATGTATTCCAATCTAATGTATGGAACTTTGTTTTCCTTCCCAAACCTGCTCCATCCACCATTCTTGCAGTTGCTCAGGGTGGGAGTCATCCTTCATTTCTTTCCCTTACCCTCTGCAGCCAATCCAGCAGCAAGTTCCAGCAGTTGAAACGTGTGTGTGTGTGTGTGTGTGTGTGTGTGTGTGTGTGTGTTTATGTATATACTAGAAGACCAATGCACAAAATTCATGCAGGAGTAGGCCTTCCTTCCCCGCTGCCAGCACCGACTTCCCTCTGGCACCCAGGACCCGGGCTTCCCTCGCAACCCTGGCTTCTTCCAGAAGGTTGTCCGGATGACATCTGGTCTAATTAGCATATTACACTTTTATTATTGTAGATGTGTATGTGTATGTGTATAGATAGATAGATAGATAGATAGATAGATAGATAGATAGACAGACATATACTGAATTCATCCAACCTTCTCTGGCTCCATACTCTCCATCCCCTCCACTCCATGCCCACACTACACTAACCCACTAACATCCCTTACCTGGCTTACTCCAGGATCTTCCAAATTGGCCCACCTGCTTCAGTTCCAACCCAGCCTCCACACCCTCCATGATCCATTCTTTACGCTGCAGCAACTAAATCACATAACATCGCTTTTCTGCTCAAAACACTCCAGCTATTTCTTGTGGAACTTAGAATAAAATTCAAACTCTTTACCATAATGGAAAAGAGCCTCCCTGCCATGGCTCCTGACCACCTGTCGACCCTCTCTCCTGCTATTCCTCTCCACCCCAGCCTTCTTCCTGTGGGATTGCAGAGCTTTTAACCTCACCAGTCTTCCCACTTGCCCCTGGGACCAGAACTCCCCATAGGTGGCTCCTCCCTTTCACTCAGATCACCTCATGACAAAGACCTTTTCCTGACGACTTTATCTAATGTTGTCTCCCCAAACCCTCCCCTTTACTCTCCTGTGCAATGTGCCATTTTGATATTTTCAAAACACATATGAATAACTGAAATGTTCATATATACTTGCTTATTCTGTCTCTCCCCCTAGTATGTAAGCCATAAAAGCAGGGACCCTGTCTGCCTTGCTAATTGTAACCCTGGTGCCTGACAGGGACTCAATAAATACTGGCTGGATTTGATTTGGATTCAAGGGGCAGTTGGCACTGACTATGCAAGGAAAGTATCCTCTTGGATGCCGTCATGCCACCAAACGCAGGCAAGGCAGACAGACCTGGAGACTTCATTTAAACCAGAAGTTAGCTAAGCTTTCAAGCCATTTACTCGGCCACTTTCTTCCTTCTTATATTTCCACATATCAAAACTACTGCTTCGGCCTGCCCAGCCCACTCCCAGGCCTGGAGCTTCATACTGCCCACTCCTCAGAGCCCCGGTCTCCAGCTGCCTGGAGATCACCCAGGTGGTGGCCACAGACACCCTCCTCCCTCATGGTGTTTTATTTTCTTTCCTCTGAAAGTATTACATGTGCACTAAAAAAAAAAAATTGGGATATGACAAAAAGGGGGAAATCCTCACACTTTTAGCATATTGGAATATTTCTTTATTCTCTTTTCTGTGCATTTATTAACCTTTTCTCATTATATTAACATTTATTGGCCTTGGAAACTGTACCATAAATATAAATAACTAAAATAATGTATCACTGTCTAGAAATTTACAGAACAAGTTCTTTTAGATTTTTTTTTTAATTCTAATGTGGCCATGAACATTTATTTTCAAATATATTTGTTTATATTTTTTAATTTTTCCCCAGATTAGTGACCCATGTTGATATGGCTCTTCATACAGTCCTGAGAAAACCAGGCAGAGCCGAATGAAACCTTTAAATGAAACCTAAGCATTGGAAAAAACTACAAAACCCAAAAATGACATAGCACCACCCCCATATTTTTTGTAGTACACAAGTGTGAAAAGTGCATATGGTTGTTAAACATCTGTCTGTCCTGATAAACCATAAACTCCATGAACACAGGCACCCTGTCCATCTTATTCATAGTACCTAGTACGTAATAGGTGCTGAGTAATTGCTAGGTACACAGATGTGCAATCAGTACACCAATGAGAATTTGAAAGATAAAGAGGAAAACTATTGAATCCCAATCCTCCAAACACCAACCCACCTTCCAACACCCCAACTTCATACTTGGCAATAGTACTCAGACCCATGTCAGTTCCATTTATTCTTCCTACAAATATTTTACAGTTTTATTTTAAAATCATTTACACATATTCATACAAAGAAAAATAAATCTCAGAATGGAACCTTGGGACCATGGTAGTTTAAAAAAAAATTCTGATCATTAGCTACTAATGACAAGGCAAGAGGCTCAGCAGTCATTTCTGGAGGTTAGTGTAGCTCCCCACGCAGGGCACAGGTGAGAAGAATCCAAGAGGCTCCCTCCTCTTCCCTCAATCTTCACCTTGCAGAGGTACTATAGGGGAAAGGGATATTTTACACTCTCCCCTAGAAACTCTTCAAGACGTGCAGCAAAGTGCTAAGGTAACACTGAACCATCTCTTTGCTAGGAATTTGGCAAGATGGCAATTTCTGAAGCAACTTTCTAGAAGAGCTACTAGTTCAATTCCTACTCACAGGTCTAAGACGAGGAGGGACTCCTGCACTCACATCCCACGTCCCGATGCCGTCCTTCCACCAAAGGGCACAGAGCACAGCCCTTGACCTGATCCCATCAGGTCCCTTCTAGGCTAGCTAATTCCACAAGTGAGCCTTCCTGCTACCCAACACCCAAACACTGTGTAGCAATTTACCCTGGCAGCTCTTGAGGACCCCCAGATAGTGAGGCCAGCATTCCTGTGTGCAGCATCATATCCAGGGAATCTGAGCAACAACCAGGAGAGGTCCAAGAATGACAGAACTATGAGCACCCCTACCAAAACTTGACTCTGCTGAGCCAAATCAACATTTAAGTCCAACAGGCCAACTCCTGCCATCCCGCCCTAGATATGGTCATCACAGAGGTGCATGGCAGAAGAATGGCCTACACATAACTGCCCAAGGAAGCTGTACTATTAGCAATTCCCAGTAAAAGGGGGAGGGGGGACAGACATTACAAATGTGGTAGACCCTATGAGAAATGGCAGCTGATGACAACAGTTACCCTATTATCTCTGGGTCCTACCCAAAAAGCAGCACCAAGAAAGGGCATGATATGCAGAGATCTGTAGCCGGGTGTGCACCCTTGAATTACCAAGGGACTCAAGAGATACAGCTCATTTTCCTACAATTATGTAGGAACTAGAACAAAGACTACCCACCCCTACATTGAGGCCACTCCTGAGAGGCCGTACCGCTTATGATCATCAGCCCACCCCCTTGGTAGGCCCATTTGGGGAGAGGGAGTCACATCCAGAGCGGGGACCCCTCCAGGCAGACACTCACAGGGCAGCCCATCCCACTGTCACTGGGGCAGGCCAAACATAGTTAAGAGGGCGGACAGATCCCGGGCATCAGCCGCCCCATAAGCATCGCTCTGGCCTAACATGGACAATGCCAAACGCAGGGTGCTCCAAATGTTCTCTGACATGGCGCCCCCTTCACCCCGAGGGCCCCGGCTTTTCCTCTGCATGTTCAAGGCCTCCAAAAAGTGTTCCACAGCCTCCCTGTAGGGAACAGAAATGAGAGCTGGTGAGCAAAACACCAAGGAAGGAGGTAGGTCAGCTGGTATGGGGAGAAAGAAAGCTAGGGATGGATAGTCAAATAACAGGAACAGAGAATGAGGAGCTAGGGACAAAGGCAGGGAGAAAAGGTTCATTCATTACTCAGTAGATACCCTCACCAAGAAGTTCATTCATTCATTACTCAATAGATACTCTCACCGATGAGCCCCAAGGTTGATGCAGCTGATGCCCAGGTTATAGCGGGACCGTATATAGCCTGGTTGTAGCTCGAGGGCCCGACGGTATGCAGCTACTGCTTCTTCACTCTGGTTTCCATTGGCTAGGGTGGCCCCTAGTTTATTCCACAGCAAATAGTCCTGGGATAGGGATGGAGAAGGGTTAGGAACATAAGCCAAGCTCAGATCAAATTCTGCCCATTCCTCCCCTGTTCACCAATCTGTTTAGCTAATGTATGTTACAACCCCATTCCTTTCCCCTCAACAGTTCATTGTGTAGCTCAATGTAACCACTCTCATCATACAGACTCCTGTAAATTCAGATGGCTCTGCACACCCACCCTTCTTTGCCCAATTCTCCCAAGGTAACCTGTACATGGAACACTGGAATGAACTATCCCATGACTCCAAAGGTCCCAACAAATGATTCTTCCATAAGGTACAGAGTGATGTCCTATTTCCATTCCTCCCCTGAGACTCACATTGGGACGAACGCTGAGGGCAGCTGTGAAACAGTCCACTGCCTTGTCATACTCCCCACTCAGGTTGAAAAGGACCCCTAACCCACACTGCACATCAGGGTCAATGTTTGTAGGGTCCAGGCGCACAGCTGCCAGAAAGAGCTCTTTCACTTCAAGAAACAGGGAGCTAGAAAAGAAGAGAAAAATGTGGATGGACATGTCTACATATTCCTACTCCTCCAAAATAATTCCTTAATTAGTCAATCAGATCCCAGAGATTATCAATCTATCAGCCATCCTTCCTACTCTACTCCCAAATTCTAATTTACAAACCTGTTTTTCTGTCTCCTCCCAGCATTACACTGTAAAATGCAGACCTCCTTCAAGTACTAGTAGATCCTTGAGTCTCACTCTATCCAAATATCGAAAATCAAGGTTCTCCTCCTAATGGGTTACCATTCTCACCCCAGGAACTCCTCACTCACTCAGACAACAGAGATCCCAGGATGCGCTTGCTTGGGCCCAGTCCTGCGCCACTGGCCCCTTCTTCCCCGGGCACCACCAGATGGGCATAGGCTGGTGTATAGCGCAGCCAGTCTCGCAGGGTTTCACAGGCCTGTCGCTGCAGGGACTCGTTGGTGAAGCTGACAGCCAGTGCCATCAATGCTGTCTGGTTATCTGGCTTTAGCTCCAGACACCTGTTTGAACAGAGATGGACAGAACTG